GCAACGACCCAGAGAGAGATGGAGATGATGTAGTACCTGGTTCGCAACAATGCTTGGTGCGTGGAGAGAAAAGGTCGCCGCATGTGCCACATGCGGCGTAACCAGGTGCCTGGCTGCTCGAGCGCAAGGATCCAGGAGGAGACAAACTGAGTAGTAGCTCTTTTCCTCGACCTTTATGCTGACGTTTTTGGTGTGTAGCCAGATTCCTCGCCGTCAGGTTCGTTGATCCTTCGCTGATGCAGAGGGGACATGAATACCGTACTTCCGTTGGGCATCGTGGCGCAGGTCCAGGTACGGGTGATGGTGGTGCCAAATCTTGGCTCATGACACCACTCATTGCCGATGCGACTGGAGGCTCCAGTGCAAGGCGATTCCACGTCAGTCCATCAGTATACCGCTGCTGCTGCTACTACCTTCCACCACGCTACTGAGCGTACGTGGTGGAAGTGGTGATCTCACACGAATTGGCCAAGGGAGATGCGTTCACACCCGGTGTGTGTGTGTGTGTGTGTGTGAAGAAATTTCATTTCAAGATTTTTACAACAACGTGCTTGCTGCTTGTGTACACCGAACGAAAACAGACGATCGGGAGAGAGCGGCGCGCAAGGCGCAGGGGACAACAGCACAGCGGGCTCGAAACCAGCAGCAGCAGCATGCCTCGCGAAAGCGTGCCCCGTTGTGTCCCGAGGCCCATAAAATTTTGGATAAGGAGCCCGTCGTGGGATGGGGACACAGAGAGGGTAAGGGGTGCGTCTACGTAGCCGAGCGTGATGACCGCGATGGTCAATGGAAGATCGGCGAATCGGCGGAATACCCCCCGGAGCGACGCATGAAAGAAATCAAGTGTACAGTCTTCGAGTCATACCCCACCAACTTCAGGTTGAAGATGGAGAACATGATGAAAGCCGAACTCCAGAACTTCAAGTTACCTGGGAAGGTTCCCCAGGAAAACGGAGGATCCGAGTGGTACGGGAAAGGGCTAAAGAGTGATCTCATTGATGCAAGAGCAAAATTATGTAAGAAGGAGATTGAGTACCAGTGGGGGTAGTGTTCGAGTCGTCTCGGGACGTAGGAAGGGAGTGGGCGTCTCGCGGGTGGTCCGGGAAAATGATGTTGGTCAACAACCGGCAATAGGCGGGCGAGGCAAGGTCGTCGGGAATCACACGTGTTGGGGGTTGTGTTAGGTGGTGGGGTTGGGGTTGTGTAGTCTCGAGTTTCGGAGGGACCGAGTTGTACTGTTCGAGTAGGAAGTAGTTTTTCGAGTTTTCTGGGGTTTCAGGAGGCACGCCCGGAAGTGGGGAGTCGGTGTCCATGTCTGGACTTCTCACGGGAAGTCCAGGGATCTGATCATGGTTAATTTGGGTTAGGGTTGGTCTAGCTGTGTGGTTGGGGTTATCTTTCTGCCTTTTACGTAGTCACTGCCTTGATTAATGTTGTAGCCTGGTGTTTGGTCCGCTGAGGAGATATATTTATCCAGTGTACTTGTTGTCAGGACACATACGTCGCCAAATGAATCCCAGTTGAACCTCGAGCAAGATTCATCTGCTCCTGCTCATGTCTGGCGACACACTGCTCGCGGGCACGGGGACGCCCCCATCCAATTACTGGTCGTCCGAGTACATTCAGACCACCGACATCGATTTGGAGGCGGATCACATCACGCACATAGGGTCGTCCGCCGCCAATAATATTGGCGTCATAAATCAGAAGTTCTCGAAGTTCCAACAACTATTAATGTTCCTTCTCATCTTCCTTACGAGATTGATTGAGTTTTCATTTGGGAAGTTTTAGTGAGGTCCTACAATACACAGAAGGTAGTCTCTCCCACGCGGGACGCCCCTTCTCTAATCAGGCTCACGAAGACCTCCAAGCTGTCCCCGGTAGCCGCCTTGTGTAGGGGGGTTCTTCCGTGCTTGTCCTTGTACGGATGGTCGGCGCCGTGCTCCAGCAGCAACCCGGCCGCTGGACGAGTTGCAGTGTGCCGCCAGGTGCAACGGAGTCCTCCCAAACCTGTCTTCCAGGTCGACGGGTACCCCGCTCTGAATCAGGCGTGATACCTCGTGCGCGTCGTCGTTCTCTACAGCCTCGTGTATGTCCTTATTAGGAGAACGTGCGAGGATACCCCTGAGGAATTTTACCACGTCTTTCGACGAGTACAGAATGGCACAGTAGAGGGGGGTTCGGAGGAAGGAATCCCTTGACTGTGTGTCGGCACCCGTCTAACCAGGGACCTGTTTTTTTTTTATTCTTTCGAGGTCGTTGCCTTCCGCCGCTTCGTGGAGCTCGCTTCTCCCCGGGTGGCTCATTATATCGGTCATTATCTTTTACCAAACATCATTATAATTTTCCGACACAAGATCAATGGCGGGTGCACCGGGACCGTTCTTTGGTTCGATTATCGAACCATGGTTATAAAAAAGGTGGTTCGAACCATTGTAATCGAACCATCATTTGGTTCGCTTGTATAAATCTGGCTACCAATATTCAGCCATGGTACCCAGCCATGATCGCTTATTGAATTCTGAATCGGGGATTGAATCATTCTTTTATCACACATGGACCGGGGAAACTCTGGTAAAGGCACCCTTGAAGATCTCCATCGTGTCCTCCTGACTCTTGGCAATAGCAGCGAGGACACCCATTTTCTCCTTTTGACCTTCTGCGATGACGATAAGTACCCGCATCATGTCCGCGTGACGAGCATCATCCTCGGTCTTACGCTGAGCCTCCATGGCCTCTATTTCCTTTTTGCGCTGAGTATCGATGGCCTCGATGCGGGATACCATGTTTGTTTGATGTGTCTCCACCAAGCCCCTGACAAAGGTGTTGAGTCCTTCGATAAGCTCCTGGTTGGCCGTTTGGTACTCGCTCCTGACTTCCCTGCGATTGAAGAAGAACCTTATGACACCTATGGGTGTAGCAAAAGATAATATTAAAAGCACTTGAGATAAATAGTGCTTGGCCTTCTCCTTTTCGTACTGTCTTCGCCGTTGAACACAACCTGGATAAAAATTCCCATGCCTATGACATAGACATAGATCTCCGCCCACGAGAAGTTGCTGACACCGATCTGCCTCCTGATGTTGTCGCTCAAAGGCATGGTGTGATCCCGTGGGTGATCAATCCTATGATATCGTACGGGAGTGAACAATGATATATACATCATTGGCGTGGTCCACCGGGACCGTTCTTTGGTTCGATTATCGAACCATGGTTCTAAAAAGGTGGTTCGAACCACTAGAATCGAACCACCATTTGGTTCGCTTGTATAAATCTTGCTATCAATATTCAGTCATGGTACCCAGCTTGAGTTGAACAATGGTATATACATTATTAGCGTGGTTCTATTCTTTTCTCAAACATGGACCGGGATCCCTTAGGGACACGGACCGATAGGCTCCTCCCCTCCTGCTTGATCTTGGCGTTGAAGACTTGCTCGCAAAGCTTGGCCACGGATCGTCCCAGCTCGTTGTTTGACACCTTTAGGTTCGTGATTGTTTTGTTCATGATGGCGTTGTCCGCTTCCAGCCTAGACATTCTCCACTTCATGATCTTGATCACCTCCTTCAGGTCCTCGACCATCCCTTCCGTGGATTCCCCCCTGGGATCTACGACGGGTTCCTCCCTGGACGCGTAGGCACCCATGATTTATTATTATTAACCTACAGCCAACATAAAATATAGGCCTCGTCACACACACACATTTACCCACACGCTAGGGAGAGGAAGACTCCGAGTCTTCTTGCGTATTAACGGGATCCTCAAGAATTTCCGTGTCGGCAACCGGCTCGGCAACCGACTCGGTAACAAGTGGTAGCGATACCTTCGGGTCCTTCCTGTTCTTCTCGGACTCCTCCCTGAACCTCCTCCTGTCCTCCTCCCCCAGAAGTATCTCTTCCTGAAAAAAAACACCCCTCCGGGACCTCTTGTGGTTCCGCTTCTTGTCCGCCCTTTCGATCGACTTCTTGATGGCTTGTGCCTCCCGATTCACCTTGATGTGACTTCTCCTGTTGAAACTCCTCCCGTCGACGGGGGAGGCCTTCTTCTCGTCCTCCAGCATCTTCGCGTGGATATCACTAAACAACATGTTCCCTGTCTATAAACATTTATTGTTTATTGTGGTGAGTTTACACGGGTCTTGCTTCCCGCGCTCAAAACAAAAGTTATCTTTATTCATCGGGTCATAACATAAAAGAACCCGGGGTGTCTGTTATGATGCCATCGAACCCGAGAGACTCCATGTAGTCGTGCAGACCAAGCGTGTTGCACGTGTACGCGTAAACATTTACCCCCTAGAATGACAGTTGTTGACAAGCTGTTGGTTCGCCTGAAACTTGTACATCATCATGTGAGTGATACCGAACTTTTCGATGGTGGAAGAAAAAAGGTCCTCGTGTATGTTGGATGTGATGTACACTTTTGTCAGGGAGGAACCCGTGTGGCCTTCTCGATGTTTCTCAGATCCCTCATGTGAAACTCGTTGAAGGAACCAAACACACACCTGTCCAGGCATCCGTTTTTCATGCAAAGCTCATTGATGTCCCGACATATACTCGAGTACACCCGAGTGTTCTTTATATCGATTATGGGCCCGAATGTGTCGTTCCTGAACTCTCGGAATACACTGTCGAGCTTTAGATCACTGGATTCCTCGTAGTTTCGGTCGTATACCGGGACTCCGGTTATTTTGTCCACCGAGTTGTGCGCCATTACAAGCACCCCGTCTCTCGTGATGCACACGTCCATTTCTATACCGTCTACACCCACGTCACGGGCGCTCCTGAAACTGATCATATTGTTGTCGCCATGTATTCGACTGTCCCCGCGGTGTGCAAATATTTGCATGGTAATTTGTTTATCATAAGGTAAGTTCAATATCATTAATCATTTATCGAGGCATCAGTTATTCCCGGGTATGGAGCTACAGCGGGGAGCAGAATCTACAGCAGAGCTCACCGCCCGCGATCAAATCGCCCTGAAACAGTTTGAGGCAGGAATAGCCAATCTGGGGAAATCTAGCAACTTGTCTAGCTCCTAGCTGCAGCATCCGATCGCGATGACACGCATATGCTCGTGACGCTGCTGATGAGACCTTCAATTTGCGCCGCTTCTTGGAAGAGCCCGCCCCCTACTTCCCAAGAAATGGCAAGAGGCGTCTGGACCCGAAATTTCAATTTTTTTGGCTCCCGCTCTCAATTGTATACTCCGCTCTCAATCAGGCGAAAACCTTGTTTACGGTATTAGAAGGGGCACCATCGAGAGGTTTTTCCAGATGTATGTCCTTGTTTTCGAGACGGATCTGTGGCCAAATGGGAATATTCTCTCTTATAATGTCTTCTTGTCGGTGATGTTCGCCGTGAGTAAATTAAACCCATCGCGGATAAACTTTTGGTACATTAATCCTCCTGCAGATCCGACCACTTGTGTTCCCTGATCCAACCCATGTCCAGCTTGAACTTCTCAAAGTCTTCCTCACGGATATCCGCCAGGTACTTCAGTACAGTCTGCTCGTTCTCGTCTTTCAAGTTGTCTAGAAGCATGGAGAAACCGTCAGACTTTTGATGGGTAGTATTATTGGTGTGTATATTTCGTCTTATATCTTGTGGACTACCCCCCGTATATGTTCTGATGTATATGTGACTTCTCACACCTACCCACATGTGCGTCTTGATCCAGAACTTATTTTGTTTCCCAGCCCCGGCCCCGGCCCCGGCTACGTTATCGCTGCTGTTAATCCTCTCTCGCGTCGCGGTGCGCAGAAAGCTGAGATGAGGCAGTGGGTCCCCGTGAGATAAAAAGACTGTCACTTTCTGCGTACCGTTCTTATCGGTGAGATTATTCGTCGCCCCCTTGCCGGTACTGTGCAGTCAACCCGCCCAGCAGCGCGCATTCAGCAGCACGCAACCAGCCGTATTTAGCTGTGTCTCGCGTTCCAGCTTCAGCACAGTTGTGGCGGAAGAAGGAAGCAGCAGCGGTAACAGCAGCAGCAGCATTCGCCTTCAGCAGCAGCAGCATTCGCCTTCAGCAGCAGCAGCAGCAGCAGCAGCTTTCGCATTCAGCAGCAGCTATTCGCGTTCAGCAGCAGCAGCGGCTTTCGCATTCAGCAGCAGCTTTCGCATTCAGCAACAGCAAAATAGGCAGCAGCAGCAACAACGGAGAGGCAGCAGCAGCAGCAGCAGCATTGTTCGTGTTCCAATTTCAACACAGCGCAGACGAGGCACGGGGTCCCCGCAGGGTAAAAAGACGGTCACTTTCTGCGTACCGTACCTTTTATGGTGATATTTTGCGTCGCCCCCTTCCGTGTACTTCAGGAGGGCACGTGGATTGCAATCCCCCGCACCTATGCCCCCCCCCCCCCCCCCCCCCCCCCCCCCCCCCCCCCCCCCCCCCCC